AGAGAGAGAGAGAGAGAGAGAGAGAGACGTGTTTGGACGCTTACCGCTATTTGCTTGATGGGAGAAAGGCCTTTATTGGGAAGTAAACACTGCAAATCGACAGCGCTTACTGCCCAATAAATGTCTGTAGCAATAAGATGTAAGTGGATTAATTATTCCATGGCCCACCACCCAGTCTTTTGGCGACCACTCTATATTTTAATTCATTGCAACCGCCATACAGTCATCTCAAAAATAAATTCTCCATATGACCAGGTGGCTGGCGTCTGTTTCATTACTCGTCATTTTATTGTGGTTACTGAAAGACTCTTGGGCAGGGGTGTTAAACTCAAGGCCCAGGGGTTGGATCCGGACCGCGGGGTGCTTAGATCTGGCCCACGGGACGGCCCTGGAAACCGCGAAGGAGCGGCCTGCGGTGCATCCGAAAATGGAGATTGGGTGGGTTGCAGGAGGCTGTCGCAGCCAAAAACGGAGCTCGCGAGGGTTGCGGAGGGCCCTCCCGAGCTCCGCTTTCACTGGCAGAGGATTGCAGGAGACGGTCCAAGCTGAAAACGGAGCTTGGGAGCCTGTTTTTTTCTGGCAGAGCGCTCGGGCCATCACTGGCATGCCCAACACGTGACGTCGAGCTGGCCACACCCACCCTGCCATGCCCACTCTGGCCCTCCCAAGGTGAAACACAATCCTGGTGCGGCCCTCGATGAAATCGAGTTTGACACCCCTGCTCTTGGGTATTCACAAAGTGGCTGGAAAGCCATTCAGTCCAGAAGAAGGTTGTTCGACACCGTCCTTGTGATCGGAGGTCATAACCCCAACGTGATGCTGGGGTAAATATACGGCAGCCAGCTTCATCCTGCTACGCCAGCACGGCCTTGAGAACCATCTTAAAACAGGGAAACTATACTCTTAAAATATAATTGGTATTTAGGCTGTCGGTTTGAGCTCCGAGCTGGACGGTTTGGCTGCAAAGGTTTTGAATTCAAAGCGCACGGACGACGTCTCCTCGAATGGCGACGAAATGTTTGCAGGCAAATTGGCAGCTTGGGGCTCAAACGGACAGCCTAAATACCAACCCAAGCTGCTAATATTCATATGCATGTCAGAATTGGTATCCTCAATTCAAAGAGCGGAGAGGCGGCTTGGGATGTTGGTGGGCTTTTGCAAATTTCTTGGATTTGCTGTCTCCCCCCCGCCCCCCAATTTTTCTCAGAGAAACCCTAATGATTAGGAATGATTAGGAATAATGATGAATTGGCTCTTTCTTTATTTAAACCAGGCTGATAGGAGACTCAGAAGGACCCCAAAGAAAGGGGAGACATGCTACAAAATCTCCAGTGGCTGTGGCATGCACGATGTGTGGAATCTGGTACATTAATGTACTATATGCATATAAAGCAGTGGTGGGTTAGCAATAGTAGTTAGACTTATATACCGCTTCATAGGGCTTTCAGCCCTCTCTAAGCGGTTTACAGAGTCAGCATATTGCCCCCAACAACAATCCGGGTCCTCATTTCACCCACCTCGGAAGGATGGAAGGCTGAGTCAACCCTGAGCCGGTGAGATTTGAACTGCCGAACTGCAGATAGCAGTCAGATGAAGTAGCCTGCAGTACTGTACTCTAACCACTGCGCCACCTCAGGTTCCGGATCCTGTCGCAACCGGTACGCTGTGACAACGCCGGGCATCCACCACGTGCACGTGCACTGTGTACACATGCGCGCCCACTGCCCTGCGATGCTCCAGCTGTTCGGCGGAGCATCGTGCAGGTGCTGTACACTGCGCATGGATGTGCAAATGCAGGTAAGGAATGAGGGCGGGCGGGCGGGCCCTCCAAAGCACTGTTGCGGTACCATGGCTGCTGCTCCCAGCAGCCACCGGTACGCCCGTACTGGGACGTACTGGCCGGAACCCACCACTGATATAAAGGGACCGAAAAAAAGACAGCGAAGTGTGTGCCATATTTTTAAATCATTATTTTATGCTTGTGATCAGAAGGACAGATTCAAATCTGGATGTTCATTATCATTTCCAGAGTTAAGCAATCGTGCTCATCGCCTTAAACCATTTCTTTGTGGAGGGGGAAAAAAACGGTGAGGGGAACAGAACAAAGGCCCTTTCCTCAGGGAAAAAAAAGTATCACCCCATCGTACCGTTGAATTACTTCAATTCTCTTCGCGGGGTTTAATGATTGGCAGAGAATTTAGGACCAAAGGAGTTAGGACCAAAGGGAGAACGGAAGGTCACGCCCACACCTAAGCCTGGTCTCGTGGCGCCATAAATGAAGTCATAAATGGGAGCATTTGTGCCCAGGATTCATCACGTACCCTCGTTTTGACATCATTGTCAGTATTACAGCTGAGTCCTTCACCTGCGGAATACTGTTGATTATTGAGAATAGATAGAAGGCAAACTTGTGTTTTTAGCATCTTTGGTTAGCTAAGTTAGTTCTTTAGAAAATCCTGCTTATTATGCTTTCAATCAATACGCCGCGCGGCGTCCTTCTAGATGTACAGATCATTGAGCAAGGCAGAGATATTATTAGGCTGCATGACGTACCGCACTAAATGCCATTAAATCTAGCGGTGTAATCCTCCAAAGTCTGCTATTGGTTTAGTGAGTCTGCTGCTTTAGGTGCGCTCGCGCAGCACTAAAAAAGGAATATTTTGAAGCCATTCCGAGTCTGCAAAGGTAAGTAGAACAGCTGAGGGGGGGGGGGGAATCCACTGCGCCACCCGATTTAGATTAGCTAGAAAGCAGGAAATCCGACGATTCTAGCTAAGATAAATCGCGCATCACAGCTGATCGTCGTCCAGCTGATTGTTGTAAATACTGGTTCGGGCGAACCTACCGATTCAGGCGAACCGGTCTGAACCAGTAGCATTTCGCCCCTGATTAAATCCGATTGCGACAACCAAGAGCTGGTGTTAACAACCAGAGCTCAATAGGCAACGGACAGGAAAGGGGAGAACAAAAAATTGAAGGCAAATCTGAACGCTTTCTGAACGGTATTCCGCCAGTCGTGTTCCACTTTCACGTGCCGGCCCGCCGGGGAGAGCTTCGACAGGCAGTTCAAGCAGGAGAGGGCCTTCAGCTCAAAGACCGGCCACTTGCTCCCCAGGCGGCCTTCCAGGATGGTGCTGAACTCGACCACGCTGCCTTGTCTCAGGTTCAGCAGCACCTGCTTGAACTCGTTGCTGGCCTTCAACACGATGTCCTTAGTGACATCGTCCTCCTCGGGGGCCCGGTTGCCATTCCCGCCACCGAGCGGCATGCCCACGGTTATTTCGAATTTATACCGGTCGAACCTCTTGATGTGACACTGGTGCTTGGTCAAGTACTTCAAGCGGCAGAGTTCCTCCACTTCCAGGGTGGCGTTTCTGGGATCGCACGCAGGGTACGTTTCTCCGTACAAACACCTCAGCCAATCCCCAAGGAAATAGGGAAGCATATTTATGGTGGACTCGGCGCTGTTCTCAATGCTGGTGACTCGGACGTACTTGAACCGCCCTGTCCAGGTGACCCGATGGCCTTCCAGGTGGCTGCATATAATTTGAGTCCGCGCCATGTTAGTTTCTTTCCAAGCCCGGGGCCCGCAGAGAAACCCGTACTGATTCCACGTCAACGTCGAATTGTACACTTTCATCCCTTCCGAGCGATAGACGTAAAACCAGCAGAAGAGGACGATGGCTGAAAGCCAAACCAGGATAAGCTTCACGATTGAACTCTTGGTCAGGGACGTCACCATTTCGACTGCAGAGACTCTGGCCCGCGTGCACAAGTGGAAGAACAGAGGAACCGCACAGAGGGTGAGCGTGACCACGATCTTGGTCAGTTCCAACGTTATTAGCCACCTTAAGAATTGGAAAAGACCCATCAGGGCGATGCCCAACATTAAGACGGGAAGGGCGAAGAGGAATAAGAAGTAGCCCACGGAAGCCCGAAGGAGACCAAGGCTGGTCGATTCCTGCAGAATCACGACGGAGAGCTCACACCACATGAAGCAGACCAAATAAGGAATCAAGTAGCAATAGATGCCCTTGAATTTCTTCAGTCGTGCCATGCGATAGAAGAGGTAAAACAAGTACAGGAACAAGAGGCAGGGGAGGCTGAGGTTCAGTACCAGGACACTGCCAAGAGGAAGGGTGTAAAATGTTTTACCCAGGAGCTTCACGTAACCCCAGTGGTCGGGGGCCCCTTGCAGCAGGCAGAGGGCCCCCGCGGTCACCTCGGTCAGCAGGGCCCTTCGCGTGTAGGGTTCGGCGCTGGTGCACAAACTCATGTAACTCGTCACCATGAAGAAAACGGAAACGGTGGCCAGCTCGGAGCAAGGCATCCATTCCTTGCTGGCTATCGGGAAGGAGAAGAGGACGAAGAGGACCGAGAGCAGGAAGTGGAAATAAGGCTCCAGGTGATTCCAGCCAAAATTCCCCTCCGCCTCGTCGACATCCAGATCGGGCTCGAAACGAAGCAGGAGGTCCGTGAGGGTTCGGAAGTTCTCCCACGCTTTGCTGTCCTGGAAGACTTTCAGGGTGCAAATCACCATGGAAACGAAGGAGAGGTAGAAAATCACCAGGGGGATGAAGAAGGCGAAGAAGTCGATGGTCAGGTTGCTGAGGACGAAGAAGAAGACCAGGGCGTTGATCTGGTGGGTCGGGACGATGGTGGACAACCAGTGCATGCCAGCTTTGGAGGCCGCCTCGATCAGGTGCTCCTTGATTTCCATGATGGCATGGAGGGGATACTTGATGATCTAGAAAGAGAAGATAATACACAGGTCACCCCAAACAGCAGAGAGGAGCAAACGAACCCCGAAAGGCCCTTTTGGACGAGACTGGTGGGCTGGCTAAGCTGGGAAACAAGTTCTGAACAAGTTCTGAAACAACACCTGTCAAGGCCCTGTTTTGTCTCTTCAGACAAATTAACGTGTTGGGAGTGACCGCAAAGATATCTTCCAAGGGGACAGAGAGGCCCAAATGCACCTCTTTACGCCACTGCAGGGATCTCCAACCTTGGGAACTTTAAGACTTGTGGACTTCAACTCCCAGAATTCCTCAGCCAGCTGAGTGGGATGCAATCGGTTAAACAACCGGTTCGGTGATCGCGCGCAGTGTTCAAAACGGGGTCTCAATAAGACCCACCTTTGGCTCTGCACCTGAGGCTGGGTGGTCCCAGTGCCCCCACCGCCTAGGACCTGAAACGGGTCCTTCGGGAGACTCCCCAATGAAGGAGTCCCGGCCCATGCTTGACATGCTCTCCCTCCTTTGTGGGCTGCTCCCTGGAAACCCTTTCGGGGGTCCTCTGTGTGCCCACCACCTGCCCTGAGCAAAAGGGCAGAGGGGAGACACCTTTGGCATCGGAGCCCTCCAGCCGTTCACCTTTTGTTGGAAGGGGAGCTCCTCGGGGCTCTTTCCCGTCAGCTCGTCGTCGTCGTCATCCTGAGGGATCATACTTGACGGGATGATACCCTTGGCGTACTTCTTGGTTATTTCAACGAAGTCATCCAAGGCCATATAGTTCTTAGCTGAAAAGCATTCGAGAGAAAAATATCTATATGGCTCCTCCTGAGTGTAAGGCAGAAAACGAGAGGGTCCAAACCTACCGGTGGTGCTTTTCACATTTTGTTACCACCGGTTCACCGCGTGCACCCTTTCCACGCATGCGCCCGGCCTTCCGTGCATGTGCTTTGCTCACGTGTGTGCTTTCTGCACACGTTCCCGGCCTCAAAAGTGTGCCGAAATAGGACGGCACAGAGTCCGGGGCAGGTGTGTGGCCCACCCACCCGGGATTTTTGCTATTGGTTCAGGCAAACCAGTCCGAACCGGCTGAATACACCTCTGCTCCCTACCTTCGCTGCTGACCAATCTCTCAAGCATCCTTCGCTGCTTCTGGACGGGCTTTGGAAGTGGTCCCGGGGGCTGATCTCCCTGGCCTGTTCTTGGAAACACAGGTAGGTGTGAGCGTTTTACCAGGAAGCCGGACACGAAAGAGTTAAAACAAACGAACAGCACTCCTGGAAAGCCACAC